AGAAAAAATTAAGTTACCAGGCTGTGGTGGTCGCAAAACTTCAGTGCGGGAAAGAAGATGGAAAACACTTGAATATTGAATATTTGCGGACGATATAATTAGGACCTTGTGTAGCTGATCAAGGGATTGTAACTCTTTCAGCGTCAGACAGGAAGGTCTCTTCTCGGGCCTTGCTTGTCCACCACATCCACCATGGGAGGAAAAGCTCCTTGAGCTTGCTCACGATATAGCCACAATCACGAACAGTCTCCCAACGCCTCGATGCCTCTTGCCTCTTGGTACTGCTCATCTATCCGGTGACGGCGCAGCTCTTCGTATACCCTGAAGGTCTCGGATAGAGGGGATGCTCGATATTTCGCTAGTGTTCTAGCAAATAAAATGGCGTCTTCTATGGCGATACCAATACTTTCTCCCTGTGGAGGCATCTGTAAATTACACACTGTTAGGGATGTTCAAATATAGAGGCATTCATAGTGTACGATAGGACTTACAGCATGGGCTGCGTCTCCCAGCAACATGACTCTCTCAGTGCACCATTTCCCGCCGGGCGGTAGCTTATAGACCGGGAACAAGTACCAACTATTTGATGCGGTGATCATCTCTTTTACACATGGGAAGACGGAATCACCGAACCGATCAAGGATATCAGCTTTGATAGCCTCTTGGTCCTCCCCCTTGGCCTTCCATCCATCTCGTGATAGAGCTTCCTTAGCCTCCATAACTGAGGCTAGGTAGATGGACATTCGAGTTGACTCGTAGAAAGAAGTCAACAGTGAGCCCCTTCGTGCCATAATCATACCTGTATCTTTGAAATGAAGGTTGGACGTGATATCTTTGCGAGCAACGTATCCCTGAGCCACGGAGATGCCGGTATATACAGGTTCTCGTTCGGGATCGACATAGTTCATTCGCGTCTTTGAATGGATCCCATCGCAGCCCAAAACTAGATCTGCTTCAACCACAGTTCCATCCTCAAACGAGACCTGTACCTTTCCGTCACCCTGGGCGTCTGGAGAAATTTCTTCGAGTTTAACAAGCTTTTTGTCATAAACGATATTCAAAGTGATACCAGGAAGAGCTGTATCGTGGATAGCGTCAATCATGGCTAGTAGCAGCGGCAGTCTCAACACCCTAAGGCCCTTCAATCCGCTCATCGATTCGCCCTGGGAGTCGACGAAGTCCATCGAGGCAAGCTGTTCAGGCCCGGAGTAGTTGGAGAACAGCTCGATCCGGTCCACCTCTGCGCCATATTCGTTTTTGTAAATGTGAGGCAACACTTCAAGCCTATAAAGATTTCGTAGGGCATTAGGCGTCAGATTCACAGCACCACCCAGGCTGGATGGCAGATCGCGAAGCTCATAAACAGTAATGTTGGCGTGTTCCTCCCTGGTCGATAGATACTTGGCTAACGCCAGCGCTGATGCCAGGCCACTCACTCCCCCTCCGATAATGCATATTTCAGAAAGACGGGCCATATTGCGGGGGGTATACGGAGTATACGATGCTGTAAATATCGGTGGTATGGCAGTAAGGCGAGGTTGTTGTGAGTATGAAATATGGGTGCCTTGGGAGGGGAACAATCCCCTATCTCTCTATTTATATCATCATTATTACCACCCAACACAGCCCAAACGGGCTGGTGCTAGCTAGTGGAAGCATAGTTAGAGAATACGAAGCTTAGTTGAACGATATTCATAGCCAGTCAAGATAGTCGAGACACCATCGACCCAGCTTCAAGATTGCGTTACGAGGTTGAAGGTTGAGAGGCTTGGAAGCTTTTTCGACGGCCTCTTAATTTTATTGGTTAGTTAGAGGCAAGGGGCCAATGAGCGCTTGACAACCGCAACTTTAATTGGATGTACTAAATAAAATTGCATCCTATTGGCTGCCCGATAATGAAAAACTGAAAATGGAATGGAATAACTAATTTCCTCAATCCACGTGAGGGAAGCTCGGGCCGACTTTTCTTTTTTTAGAAACAGAGACAAAAAAAACAGGCAATCAGGTCGACTCCGAGGTCGTCACCTAATAATATTATAACTATTATGTTATTGATCATAGCGTGCGTTGGGATAATCTCAATGAGATTACGCTCCTTATGCTATTAATCATCTACTTTGCTGCTTTCGTGTACTGGGGGATGAAGGTCACCAAATAACCCATTCCTTCCGTGAAACATCTGGGCCGCACCCTTATTCAGTATTCTTATGGTTGCCATATTTCTCTCCTTCATGAGCTTGGGCTTGCACTCCGAAATGTATGAGAGACGAATCGGATGAGTTTATAGTGACAGTCACCATGGATATCATTAGATCCATGGCTGACTTTTCGTTGATTCTTCTTCAAATCTGCCATGATTTTGGTAGGTTTAATTTACTTCACGGTTAACCCCAGTAGTAAGCTCAGAAGCAGTTTCTAATAAAATTATGGGAAATAATCGCTTAACTGCAGATGAAACCGCTTTAAGTTGAAGATGGAATGAGGTAACAAATAGATATTGTATTGACACCAATTAGCTACAGCGAAGTAACCAGTTACTGACCCTGCCTTTTATATCAGTAACTAACCTAGACCAATAATACGCTAATGTCAAGGTATCGGCTAGGTTGTCTGTTTGAACCTGGTGGCTAACATTTGGTCCAAGGCTCTCAAATTATTCTCCGTTTCCTGGTTGGTGGCTCCCTCGAGGACGGACTTTCCTGCCGTCATCACGAGCCGCTCGGGGGCAGGCTGTCCCAGGTATGAGAAAGCTCTTGCTCGATGAGCCGACCTAAAGACCTGCATTATATATTAACAGTCTATTTGTAGGGAATAGTACGAAAGGATAGTCCATACTCTCAGGTGGTTTACAATATTTTTGAAACCATATTCGATTTTTATGTACCCATTGGCTTGAGCACTTTTTCGAAAAGAATGCTTCCTCAAGGAATGGCAAATCTTTCTCTGGTTGACTGGAATATACCTGTTGGATTGTTCGTCAGAAAGATAACTGTCCATGCCCAAGAAAGCATCCAAGGCTTGGAAGATTAAAACTTGGTTTCCCGAAAGACCGTCGTACTTTACGACTTCCCCGTTGACTATTCTTCCAACTCCCCAGGCTTGGAAGCCCTGAACGTAGCTTAACCACACGGAATGCGACACGCGTGACTCGATTAGATTTTCGAAGAACAACCTCAGAAGGCGGCGAAGCCTGAAACTGATGCTCTCCAGATATTTTAAACAAGTCACCCGATTATTGTCTTCATAGCTGATGATAGCACATACCATCTCATAATAGATGGGAAACGCCTGGTAAATTGATGGCTATCAGCAAGTACTTCTAAAGCACTACTTCTATCTAACATGTTTTATACATACCGAAACCTCAATATCCAAGAAAATTCGGAAAAATGTCTCCTCTGATGATTTTATTAGACTTGACATTGCAACATTTATCTTGTACTCTCTTTCGCCTCGTTTGTTAATATTGAGCAGGACATTTGCTGTATTGTTCCCACTTGCAGCGGTGACGCCAAAGTTGCGCTGCAGATAGTCCCAGGGCAAGTCAAGTTCAGGTGGGAGCTCGAGTACCTGCTCTCTTTGGGCAAATTCGACAACAGGAATCGTTCCCCATCTAGATAAGATAAATCGGCCAACTGATTAGCCGACCAGTCAATTGATCAAAGTGAAGCTGATAAGCCAGAGCAACACAAATTGTGGATACATGACTGGCCAAAGCTTCGGCGGCCCCACATAGCTTAACTGCCGGATGTGGGTCCCGCGACGTCGTGATTGGCCCGCTGACAGTCTGAGTTCATCTCACCTATAGGCATGGCGCGACACAGCGATGCAGCAGTAGAAGCCATTGTAGGCATCTCGAGGGAAGACATCCCATTTTCCAGCCTCAGCCGCAGCCATAATTTCCTTGACATGCGCAAGATTTATTCTTTCCGCGAGCATCTTTCTCATACGTGATCGAAAGTCGCCGACTAGTTTCTTGTTGACAGCATCATCTAGTGAGGGTTCCGCAGTAGACAGAAGCGGTATAATATTGGAGTAGATATCATGGTAAGGGCGCAATGGACTTGGCCATGACTCAAAATCTGTGCGCGGTGGCCATGCTCCCGCACCATCTATCTGAACCAGCTCCAGCAAATCAGATGCAGTCTCGTGGCGGGTCTTGAGAGTCTTCAGGTGCTGTATTCTTGAATGGTTGCCAGATTCATCAGCTGTCTTTTGGCGTCGGATCCAGAACATACTTGTTATTAGAACAAGAAGAACACCGGCGAGATATGATAATATAATAAAAATCATGGTGCAAAAAGGCATCCTTAAACAGAGTAATGAAGTTGCCAGGGCCATTTGTTAACAGGCACCCGGCTAGAAGCTGAGGCAGCATACTTATAGAATCTCACAAGCTCGCTTAATCCATCTGCATTACCAATGCCAAGAGGGTCCTGAGTCTTCTCAGCCAGCATCCAAGACCGGGATTAATGTGATGTGTATGCGCATGTTTACATCTCATAACCCTACAGAAACAGCTTTTAATCCAACCAGCTCCCAGGGATGCTGCACGCATATTGAATTTCATTTCACATTCCTCTCAGTATTGCCAATTCTGAACGTGGATAATGCGTGGTAAAGGCTGCACGTCGCCATCGCCATCGTACCGTACCATCGGTTTATAGCAGGGTCACCGATGTTCCGTGTGGAGGGTTATATCCATATATCATATCAGACCAGATCTCTGGATTCACAGCATCTTGGCGAACTAGGCGGCAAGTTTGCCAGATCTCAGGTCCTAGGTAAGGCGTAACAAACTACCTATCCCAAAATACCGTAAACATTAATTTCCTTAGGAGTCTTAGGGTCTGGGCATCTCATCTCAACATGCATCCAACTCTGCCACTCTATATGGCATGGTATGACGCATTGTGGCATGAAGATGCTACTACCAGATAGTTCGATTATCACGACAGAAATGGGGGTGCATTGCCAAATCTATATGCCGGTAGAAGCAGGCCACGGCATGAACAAGAACCGAATGATCGTTGGCAGCTGTTTAATTACGGCTTCGACCCATTATGGTGATAGCATCTTCATTCTCTTGGTATTGTAGTAACAATGGGCGTCTAGCTCATGGAGGATAGTAGTGGTTTATTTCCCATACTTTTCCATCTTCTCTAGGGGGGGGGGGGATACTTGCACCAGGTTATTGAGGTTATGCGGCCTTCGCACATTTCATCGGTGATCCAAAATGCCTCCAAGCTGGGTAATCTTCTTTCTGACTGGAAGCAGGGGGTATAGCAATGGACTGAATGCTCCGAGTCCTTTTCTTTTCCCACATTCGATAAGTAGTTAGGGGGCTCCATAGAGCTAGAGCAGCATACACTGTTATTGACAAACCAGGCTGCGGCCAAGGTAACGGGCCTGGAGCGGAAGCCCGGGACAACGTGGCCCGCCATCGAGGAAATTTCAGTCATATCGTTTGCGTGCTCACTCGCTGATCGAAATGATGATGCCGCTGGCAAGGGCTCGGGGGAGTACCGAGACAATTGGGTGCTCATGAACCCCATATTGCCCACATATTCAACGGCAAGACGAAGACGAAGACGAAGATCAAAACTGCTCTTGAGCCGAATCGCATAGATTACGACGGGGTGGACCGTAAAGAATAAAGCGATTGGAGGGTGACGCAGGGTTTCGTCTTAACGAGCTAACCGGTGATATTATTGGCGCAGAATACGGAAGATACGATAAACTCGAGATCCTGAAACTGAATATGCACTCGGTACACATCAACAAGCTGATCAATAATGCTTGGGAATTTCATGGGTTTGTATCATTGCCACCATACCACTGCTCGGCCCCTTTTGTCTGGTCAGGTCTCATTGTGGCGTTGTCAGAGTTGAAGCCACATCGACAGAATAATGACCAAGTTGTCGCACAAAGGCTAGCTAACTAATTTAGCCAGCTCGAGATGGCGATAATATGATAGCCGAAAAACAGGTCCATGGGAACTGGTAGGATTAATTCAGTCCTGAAATGTCTCGAGTCCTGCTAACTGCGTTCACAGGGACTGTGCCTGGTCCGCTAACTAACCGCGATGCCGGGCCGCCAGCTGTGCTCTCTGCCCCTGGATGGATGAGAATTTTTCACTCTAATTCCAGCTTATCCGCGTTCCGGGACTCCAGGCCCTTCTTCACATGAGATAAGGCTGTCTGTGGGGATAGCCAGCCGCGAGATGTTATTATGGAGCATCCTCGATCGAAACCTCGGACAAGCAAGGCCCAAGACAACATTAATCCGCCTGCCAAGTGCCAGCGAAGGAGAATCGGACCTTGTACTTGCCGACTGGCCATCAGGATCTTCACGGATTTTAGTTATGCCTGCCTGCAGCCTCTGCAGCTTAACGTCATCCTGCGTGATGGAGCCGGCCCAACGTGAACCCCCGTCCAGATGAAGCTATCTGTCCTGGACTCGCCTCGCTCCTCAGAGGGACCACTCACGGAACAAACCGCATTTTTACTACCGAGGCGCAAGTTTTATGGAAGAGCTCCTGGTTGGCTCACCCAGACTTGCCCAAGCTTGTAGATCAAGGCCGGGCCAGCAATCGTCCGGTAACCTTGATTCTAACTATCATAGTGGGATCCAGACCAGGTTATACTTCCAGTACTTGACCTTCCCGGATGCCATGGCTTCTTCGCTCACAAGTATAAAACATATGGATATTATGCTCATCGGGGGCCTCGGAATCTTCCATCTCAATCCCGATGCTCAGGAACTCGACTGTGTTTATGCACCGGGGTGTTGTGTGGAGCATTCGCCGCTATCGCCTCTTGAGTATGAAGTTGGATACTTATAGATAGCAGCACCGCAACATTGGATCTGGTCTCTCCTCACGCCAGAATTTTCGCTTGTTTATACCGCTAGAATGGCTTCCCGGCCTCCTCAACCTCCTCCTGGCCAGCCAGATGCTCAATATGAAGAATATCAAAGCGAAGTTATTACAGAGACGACAAATCGCCCCATCCCGGCTGCCGATGGAAACGAAATCACTCCGACCAACGATGTCATGGACGATAGATATGAACATGGACATGATGACTATGAATCGGGAGCCATGTACGAAACTGTCAGGACGTGGTCGCCTCAGTCTCGGCCTGAATTGGTTCGAATTGCCTCCGTCTTCTCGAGGGTGGACTCCCATCCTGATGTCGCACCCACTACAGAGGATGGCGGCCAGCTGAATCGACGAGATACTCTTGCCGGCGTGAAGATCGGTGACCCCGTCCTTGATCCTACGAAACCCGAATTTGATTTCTACAAATGGGCCCGTATGTTCACCCATGTTATGGAGAAGGAGGGCATCAAACGTAACAGAACCGGTGTCATGTTTCGAAACCTTACCGTCCTAGGTTCTGGATCTGCCGTGCAATATCAAGACACATTCCTCTCTCCATTCGCAGCCCCCTTTCGGCCTGGAGAGCTCTGCGGGAAGGGCAGGAATCCCGAGAAGGTTATATTACATGATTTCAATGGAGCAATACGCGAGGGGGAGCTTCTCATGGTTCTAGGTCGGCCCGGCAGTGGCTGCTCTACCTTTCTGAAAGCAATTTGTGGTGAACTTCATGGCCTTCAGAAGAAAAAGGAGTCCATAATTCACTATAATGGCGTGTCTCAGCATACTTTCAAAAAGGAACTTCGTGGTGAAGCTGTGTATAGTGCCGAAGATGAACATCACTTCCCTCATTTGACAGTTGGACAGACCCTCGAGTTCGCTGCGGCTGCCCGTACTCCTTCTAAAAGAGTGCTCGGCCTGAGCCGTAAGGACTTTTCAACGCACCTGGCGCGGGTGATGATGTCGGTCTTTGGCCTGAGCCACACCTATAACACAAAAGTCGGCGACGACTATGTCCGTGGTGTTAGCGGTGGAGAGAGAAAACGAGTCAGTATTGCTGAAATTGCACTTTCCGGTGCTCCAATTTGCTGCTGGGACAATTCCACCAGAGGCCTTGACTCAGCTACTGCCCTTGAGTTCACCAAGGCATTGAAGATCGGCTCCCAAGTTGGCGGTATCACTCAGTGCCTTGCAATCTACCAAGCTAGTCAGGCTATATATGATGTCTTCGATAAAGTGATTGTACTTTATGAAGGGCGGCAGATCTTCTTTGGTCCTACTAGGATTGCAAAGCAATACTTTGAAGAAATGGGATGGTACTGTCCGCCTCGACAAACAACGGCCGATTTCTTAACGTCCGTGACAAACCCCAAGGAGAGAATAGCGAAGGAGGGATATGAGAACAGAGTTCCACGGACAGCTGTTGAATTTGAACAATACTGGAAACAATCACAGAATAACAAGCTACTTCTCGCTGACATGGACCGTTTTGAGGCTGAATACCCGCCTGAAGAGGGGCATCTTCAAAAGCTCCGTGAAACGCACGGCCAGGCTCAAGCAAAGCATACGACATCAAAGTCCCCATACAGAATCAGCGTGCCCATGCAAGTGAAGTTATGTACGGTTCGTGCATATCAACGCCTTTGGGGTGACAAATCGTCTACAATTGCCACAAACATCAGTCAAATTATGATGGCCTTGATTATTGGTTCTCTTTTCTTCGATACTCCTCAGACAACGGATGGTTTCTTCGCGAAGGGCTCTGTTATTTTCTTTGCTATCCTTCTTAACGGCCTTATGTCGATCACTGAAATCAATGGGTATGTTCAACCCCTAGAGATCTATACTACTTACAAGAATGGAGATGCTAACATTTTTTTTGAAACAGACTATGTAAGAATATCGATCCTATCCTTCCGGGTAATATGCTAATACTCCCTAGATGCTCAACGCCCGATTGTTGTCAAACATGTCAATTTTGCATTCTACCATGCATATTCAGAGGCATTGGCAGGAATTGTGGCAGATATACCCATAAAATTTCTCCTAGCTTTGGCATTCAATATCATCATATATTTCTTAGGAGGACTTGAGAGATCTGCAGCGAAGTTTTTCATCTTCTTCCTGTTTACTTTCATCACCATCCTTACCATGTCGGCTATATTTCGCACGTTGGCTGCGGCAACCAAGACTATACCTCAAGCTCTTGCTCTGGCTGGAGTCATGATTCTTGCTCTTGTGATATATACTGGATTTACCCTGCAGCCTTCCTATATGTTAGTTAAAATAACCTCCCAAAATCCTCCATATCTCGAAGCATCTCCCAGGCTAATACATGTTTAGGCACCCTTGGTTCAAATGGATTCTCTATATCAACCCTATAGCTTATGCCTATGAAGCATTACTTGTGAATGAAGTTCACGGCAACCGCTATAGATGTGGAACACCCGTACCACCGTACGGCAGTGGAAAAAACTTTGCATGTGCCGTTGCTGGCGCTGTCCCCGGAGAAATGTCAGTTTCGGGCGATGCATGGGTAGAATCCAGTTACGACTATAGCTACGCACATATTTGGCGAAACCTAGGGATTCTTCTGGGTTTCCTGGTATTTTTCTATTTCGTTTATTTGGTGGTTTCTGAACTCAACCTCTCCAGTGCCTCTTCTGCCGAGTTCCTAGTTTTCCGTCGTGGACATCTTCCAAAGAATTTCCAGGGGTCCAAGGATGAGGAGGCTGCCGCCGGCGGTGTCATGCATCCCAATGATCCAGCTCGCTTACCTCCCACTAATACTAATGGCACAGCGGGAGAGACCGCGCCTGGTGGCTCTACTGTTGCAGTTATTCCACCGCAGAAAGATATCTTCACCTGGCGAAATGTCACTTATGATATAACCATCAAAGGAGAACCCCGTCGGCTATTGGACAACATCTCGGGTTGGGTCCGCCCTGGCACCCTTACTGCTCTTATGGGAGTTTCAGGTGCCGGGAAGACTACGCTGCTCGATGCATTAGCCCAGCGAACTACAATGGGTGTCATCACAGGAGATATGCTTGTCAACGGTAGACCACTAGACTCATCCTTTCAACGAAAAACCGGTTATGTCCAGCAGCAAGATCTTCATTTAGAGACAACAACTGTCCGGGAGGCACTTCGGTTTTCCGCTGATCTCCGCCAGCCTAAGTCAGTGTCGAGGAAGGAAAAATACGAATATGTCGAGGATGTGATAAAGATGCTTAGCATGGAAGATTTCAGCGAAGCTGTGGTTGGAAATCCAGGTGAAGGACTTAACGTTGAGCAGCGCAAACTTTTAACTATTGGAGTTGAGCTTGCAGCAAAGCCTCAGCTTCTGCTATTCCTTGATGAGCCAACGTCTGGACTTGATTCGCAGAGTTCCTGGTCTATCGTGACATTCCTTCGAAAGCTTGCGGACAACGGCCAGGCAGTCCTCTCCACCATCCATCAGCCTTCCGGTATCCTATTCGAGCAGTTTGACCGGTTACTCTTCCTAGCCAAGGGAGGCAGAACTGTCTACTTTGGAGATATAGGCAAGAACTCAGAAACCTTGCTGAACTACTTCGAGACCCACGGAGCAGAGCCATGTGGTCCAAGTGAAAACCCAGCAGAGTATATGCTTAACATTGTCGGTGCCGGACCAAGCGGGAAGTCGAAGATTGACTGGCCGATAGTCTGGAAAGAAAGCGAGGAGAGCCGTCATGTGCAACAAGAACTTGACCGAATCCAGTCGGAAACAAGCAAGAGGAATGAGGGCCATGGTCAATCAGCTGAAAAGGAGCCCGGCGAATTCGCCATGCCTTTTACTTCTCAGCTATATTGCGTTACCACTCGGGTATTCCAACAATATTGGAGGACGCCTTCGTACATCTGGGGAAAGCTTCTTCTCGGACTAGCATCGGCCTTATTCATGTAAGTTATCCACATTCCTGGTAATCGTATTAACTTGTCAGTTGCTAATATCCTACGTAACACAGTGGTTTCTCCTTTTTCCTACAGAATAGCTCGATGGCAGGTCTTCAGAACAGCCTGTTCTCAATATTCATGCTGACAACCATTTTCAGCTCCCTTGTCCAGCAGGTAAGATAAGACATGCTCGTTCTCCAGGAGTCAACGCTAACGAGGCTACAGATTATGCCACGGTTTGTCACACAGCGAGACCTGTTCGAAGTCCGGGAGCGTCCCTCTCGCGCATATAGCTGGAAGGTATTCCTTCTTGCAAACATTATCGTCGAAATTCCCTATCAGATCCTCCTTGGTATAATCGCATGGGCTTCCCTTTTCTATCCCACATTTGGTGCCCATCTATCGTCCGAAAGACAGGGAATCCTGCTACTTTACTGTGTCCAATTCTTCATCTTCGCATCTACCTTTGCACAAATGATAATTGCCGGTTTACCAGATGCTGAAACGGCCGGAGGAATCGCCACAACTATGTTCGGTCTGATGGTTACTTTCAACGGTGTTCTTCAGAAGCCTAATGCCCTCCCTGGATTCTGGAGATTTATGTGGCGAGTCTCCCCTATCACATACACGGTGGGCGGCCTTGCGGCAACTTCACTGCACAATCGAGAAGTTACATGTGCACAGAACGAGCTGGCAATTTTCGACCCTCCGAGCGGAGCTACCTGTGCCCAATACCTACAGAAGTTGGTAGAAGCGGGTGCTCCAGGCAAGCTGTACAATCCAATGAGTACTAGCCAATGTCAATACTGTCCGTTATCCAGCGGTGACCAATTCCTAGGAGGCTCCGAAATACACTGGAGCGCCCGATGGAGGAACTTCGGAATCGGATGGGCATATATTGTCTTCAATATCTTTGCAACCGTTGCGCTCTACTATCTGATCCGTGTGAGGAAGTCTTCTGGGCGGCCGAATAGGATAATCAGCGTTATTATGTATCACCTCAGCCGGGCTGGAACATATTGTCGAGCTTTTATTACTGGAAGAAAGGAGAAATGTCCTAGAAAACGGGAACAGATCGGTAAGATCTATTGAGGGAAGATCCTTTTACTGAAAACAGACGATATATTTTGGGACAAAATCTTTGTCTTTGTAATATTTAATAATTTAGACCTATAAGCGAGCTTAATATGCTGTTGAATCGACTAAAGCATGCGATAATTTAAGTAGTTATTCGAACTATAATGGATAGAGTATTTCTTCGATAATGGTATCTGCTAAAGACAAAAACATGCTAGTTTTAATTTTTCTCAAGAGGCATCAGGTCATCAGTCGTAAATGCTATCTTTTAGTTGAAAAGTGTCAGAAACTTCCTAAAAAAGAGCTGGATTCAAACCGGCTTAAATGGCTTCTGACTCCCGCCTAAGGCCTCTCTTCCCATCTCCTCCTCGCCGCCAGAGCCAGACTGCCTCTGTAGCCCATGCTCTAGCACTGGCATGTCGTCCAATACCTCCAGGTTTTGCCTGAACTGTAGAAAGTTTGCCATCGGAGGTTTCTTTCTTGCCATCGACATCGATATCGGCATCCGCGCCAGCCTCAGAGAGCATACCAGCCACAACAGCCTCTCGTTCAACCACACTCCATAGCCCATTAACCAACGGGGTATCCTGTTCACCGAACTCTCCTTTGCCAAGGCGGTAGAGCACACGGCCCAATACTTGCCAGGCTAGACACCGCTGAGCAGGTACTGTGGAACGTGAGAGGATTGCGAGTTCTGGAATCGTATATCCTGCCGCCTCTGGGTCAGCAGCATGGTGATGGAGGCCCTTGGATGGTGGGATGGATAGTGAAGTTCGGGGTGCGAGCATGGCTCCTTTGAGTGAAAAGCGGAGTGCTGCTGGGGCAATAGAAGTAGCGGTGCTGGAAGGGTGGTAGGCAGATGACGGGTCAGAATCGGAGTCAGAGGATCGTAGCCATGATAAGCTAGAGGCAGAGTGAGGGGTGTCAGGAAAGTAGTGTGTTTGGAGATCTGAAAGGAACGAAGGTGACGATGGATCGAGATTTGGCATCGGCTGAGATCGAGGCGGGGGACGAGGAAAATGGATTGGCGGCGGCGGTTGGGAGGCTGGATGGAGACCAGGAGGTGGATTTGATGGTGGGAGGTCATCTGGATGGGTAAATGTCTGTTCCCGTTCGTCGTCTTTAACCTCTTCTACCGTAGCCTGGTGAGAAGTTGGCATGTCGAACGAAACTGACTTCTTCGGTTTTTCATCTGGCGTATCAGACGAGCTCGGTTCTAGTTGTTTATGTGTCTCTCGTTTCTCGCCTTGTGTTTCCTGGCGATCTTCTTCGATGTTCGCCCTTCTCAGCAGTCTTTCGATCAGTGATGCAGGCAAGGAAGCCGTAAGCTCTGCCCGTTCGGCATTGATTTCGGCCTCTGACATAGCCTCAATCCTCCGCCTGTTTTCTTCATCAATAGCCCTCTTCTCATCCGCTTCCGTATTTTCCTTCACTGTGGGCTTGTCATTTTCAGCGCCCGCGCCTGCACCTTCACGCTGCCTTTTGAAGGCAGATACCTTGTTGCGTTTGCGATGTGCCGGGAATCCGGTCGAGGTAAGGGTTGACTTGGGTGTCGGGGCAGAGGGAGGAGTAGGTGCGGAGGGTGTACGTTCTTGTATATCGCTAACAAAGCTGCTGAGAGATGGAAGAGAAGCTGTTGGAGCTGTTGCCCGGCCTGGCGTGTCCTCGTCATCTGAGAGGTCGATATGAAACCTCTCACCTCGAAATGCCATGGCCGAAGTCGCCAAAACAAATCACAATCAAGGTCAGATCAGTGTTTACTCCCTTGTCAGCAATCTGCTGTACGAGCGACGCGAAAACGTGGTGGCGTATCGACGCTGGCTGGTTGATGCAAAGTGTCAAGTGTCAGCGAAAAGGCGAAGATTTTCTTCGCTCTTTCTGTCCCGCCAGTCTGGGCCAAGCACGGGACCTGCGGCTTAAAACTCTAAGTCCCAATCAGGACTAGCGCCTAGCGGACGGACCTGCAGCCGCTAACCCGAAAGAGGACTAGCGCAAGGATATGCACGAGGTCCGGACGCTAAACCCGATCGGGACATGGGGGAACTCTTCTTCTTCTGACGACAAACATTCAACGACATCGAAGAACGAACAGCGACGGGAGGATTCAGGCAGGAGGACGGAGAGGGCGAGAAGCCGACGAGGAAAGACAGTTTGTGGTGGGGGAGCGAGGTAAGCCCTGCGTTTAGCTGGTTTGACGGTGGAACTTCTCCGTCAGCCGGTCTAGGCGAAGCCAATGGAGCGTGTGCAGGGAAGAGGTTTGAGGTACAGAGAGAGACATAGAGCGAGGAACGGGGCGAAGAAACAGCTCCGGCGAGTGAATTAAAGCAGCCGGCATCGAAATCTGAAACTAACTGTTGCATACATATAGCTGTCGAATATGATGCATCATCTGGAAGACCTGTCTCTAAATGGATGGTAACCCCCCTGGTCGGCCGGTACACACTGCAGAACACCAACCACACGGCGAGTTAGTCACGCCAGGTGACAGTCGACAGCGAGGATCTGTGCTAGCCCACGACGGAATTCACCGACTGCAGTGAATGGACCACTCAAAGACAGCAGCTCCCCTCGCCTATCCCCCACGGGCATTACTCTTGTCTATTGCCGCCGGTCTTTTTGACACTCTAGATACTAAGGGTGACAGGCTGGCGTCTCCTTAGTCATCAGGGATTGCGCCTGTTAATGCGCTAGCCACTAGTTCCTCGCGCCGCCTCCACAGCATTCTTATCAAGGTCGGCTTCTCGATCCTCCCCTTGCTCGAACTGCCAGCTCTTGTGGCTGCCAAGCTCCCCATGTCCCAGCGCCGGGACACAGAGTTATGTAACCTCTGCTGCTCTGGTTCCGCCTAAACTATCTGGAGAAAAAGCTCATTCAGGCAAGGCAGGTCGAGTCAAGCCGGTCAGTCACCTGCTGCCCCTGCTGATACCGCTCGCTGCAGCCGTGGCTCCGTAAGTAAGCCCGCTTCCCGGACACTGCTCCGTACGATGTATACGCTGGATACGACAAACTGCCCGAATATTGAAACTGGACTGGATGGACTGAGGGAAGAGTGAGAGGATGTGTAATTAGCGATTTGCCCGTCCCCCTTCCCCCCCATTCACGTCCATTTCTTTGCTTTGCCTTTTTCTCCATCCATTGATCATTCGCGTAAGCCTTGCCTGCCCGTCGCCTGCCTCTTGCTTTCTTTTAATCTCCTGATCCCTTTTTTTTCCCTCCTCCTCCTCTTCCCTCCCTCCTTTCTCTTTCTCTTTCTTCTTCTTTCATCCCCCCCCGTTTTCGCTTTTCCTCATCCTCCTCTTCGTCTTTCCCCGGCAACGTAATATACTCCCTCCCCTTTTTAACTCTTCTAGCTATCCCCCCAGCTATCGATCCACGCCACACCACACCAAACTTGAAGCTCGAATTTTCGTCAGAGCCAACGTGCTTGTTTCACCATCCCCCATCTCAACTCGCTATCCTCCTTATCGTCAACTTTTTGCATCGCCAACGCAGTCACTTTTTTTCCTTCCCCTTGTGACCTATTTTTTGGCCCTTTCTGCGATCCGCATCAACCAAACAGCCAACCACCCAACTAGGCCATCTTCTCACTCTGTTCGTTTACTTTCTCTTTCAACGAACAACGCACACATAAAAAAAGGGTGTTCTTTTCTTTTTCTTCCTTTCCTGGACATCCTCGCCTCAACACCAACAACCGCACACCGACACCGCGACTTTTCTCGCCTGCGCCCTAGCTGTCAAGGAAATAGAGGGAGCCCAGACCAGGTTAGGATTCAAACAGCAGCAGCGTACTTTTTTCCTTTTCCTTGTCGAGAGCACGCTTTTGCTGAGGGTCAGGATGTCTGGATAATGGACCCGACCTCCTCGCCATCGCTGACTTCACTCTCTGAATGCGAGAGTATCGCGATCCCGTCAACATTCCAATCCCAGGCCGGATCGAAATCCAAACCCAACCCCGAACCCCAAGCTCCTGCCGCGGACTCCGGAGTGCCTCTAGCCAGCGGCTGCGGCACAGTCACCGTCACCGCCGGCAGCAGCAGCACCGCGATGGACGAGAGGAAGCCTGCCGTCCCTGAAGACGCCGGCAGGAAAAGTGGCAAAGAAAGCCGCCGCAACAGCAGAGCACCAGCCACAAATACAGACACTAGCCACATGATTAGTCAGCAAGAGACGCCGGCGGCAGCCACAGCCACAGGGCCGAAGCAGAAGCGAGTCCGCAAGCGCAAGGACGACGAGGAGAAAGCGAAGCCGAAGCGCGAGCGAAACTCGACGGGCGACAAGGCCGTTGCAGGAGCAGCCGGCGGAGCAGCAGCAGCAGCAGGCAAGGACGGCAGCGAGCCGAAGCCGAGGAGGCAGCGGAACAGCAATGTCAAGCCGCAGGACGGCGGTGGTGATGCAGCAGCAACAGCAGCATCACGCAAGAAGGCCAAGTTGGAGCATACAGCAGATGAGGTCACTCCCTCTGTGACGCCGCGCCAGACAAAGATCACAGACATGGTGTCCATGACTTCGACGGCGACGGCACATCCGCCACAGCTCTCACAGCAGCAGCAACAGCATCAGTTTAGCCAGCACCCTCCGCAGACTTCCTCCGCACAACCATCTCCCACACCCGCATACTCGATGCAGCGGAGTCTTTCACAGCACTCTCCACAGCCTTCACCACATCATCCAGCATCTTATCCGCAGAGAAACGGCAACTACGAAGCTGGTGGCACTTCTGGCTCGCCTTATGCCTACAACAACAACAGTACCACCACCACTACCAACAACACTCACCATGCGCCTCCTCCCCCACCTCCCCAACAGGCGCAGCCTGCTTCCCTTCCACGCTCGAGCGGACAGAATTATGACCCTATCCGGTCAGCTATCGAGAGCAGCTCATCCGTTTCTACTCCGGCTGTACCCACAGCGAAGCCCGCACCAGCTCCCCAGGGAAGCTCATCCTTTAGTCCACCACCAAATACAGTGACTCCTCCACCTCGCCCGGCCACTACTCCATTCAGAGCTAGCGCTTCCCCAGCTATTTCCAGCATTATCGATTTTCCAGCTGCCAACTCTACTCCTGCTATCTCCATTCCTCCTCCTGTCACGACTACGTCCGACAATAAGCCCACCCTTTCACCCACCCAAAACCCTGCTAACGGAGCTACCGAATCCTCTAAGCCATCGGCACAGCCTCTCACACACTCGAAATCACAGGACTCAAACGCAATGGATATTGATTCGAAGCCAGCGAGCTCAAAGCCTGGCCCCAAAAAGAATACTGCATCCTCTACCGGAAACCCTTCCTCAGGTGCCTTGTCCCCCAAACCCGCTTCGTCTCGCAATAAGGAACCTCCACGACCTCTACCTTCCACCGGATCCGGCCTGCTTTCTAATGCTCTCTTCGGCGGCGACACTAGCTCATCATCCGACACCAAATACTTACCAAATATCATTCTAAACATTCCTATCAAGGGAAAGTCAAATCTGGTGATAAATTTTGCCCGGATGGCAGAGGAACAATACGGCTTCGATGCGCTACATCCACGCATTGCAGCCCAAAAAGAACGTCGTGCACGTCTGGCGGCTGCGAGCGCCGTTTTGGAGAAATCTGAACGAGCTGGCCGGGGGGAAAGCGGCGCCGAAGACGATCTTTCTCTTGACGTGGATCGCGATAGTGACGGCGATGGCGATGTTAACATGTCCGGTATGGGCGCTCACACACCAAACGGCACTGGAACTGACGAAGCTACCGCTGCCCCCAATCCCAATGGTGAAGTCAAAAAGCCCCGTCGACGCAAAATCGAGGAATACGATCGTGACGACCCCTTTGTTGATGACAGTGAGTTAATCTGGGAAGAGCAGGCAGCAGCTTGCAAAGACGGATTTTTCGTTTACTCCGGGCTTCTAGTCCAGGAGGGCGACAAGGTTTCTGTTGAAAAGTACGCTCTCTCCCTCTATAGACTACTTGGCCCCTACATCACAGTGCTAACAAATGTCTTTTATAGAGCCGATGGAACTACGAAACGAGGCCGTGGCCGACGTGGTGGCGCAAGTGGCACCACCCATGGAAACTCTGGTACATCGTCTCGCGGTCGCGGTGGACACGCCGGTAGCAGTTCAACAACGAATCATCCCAACGGCGATGGTGCCACAGCTGGTAAATCAGGAACTGGCCGCGGCGGCGCCAGAAAACCGCGAATCACCAAAGCCGACCGACTTCAGATGGAGAAAGAAAAAATCGAAAGAGAAAAGATGGCCATCGGCCTCTCCGGGAAAGCCGCTGCAAAGTAAGGCTTCTTCCTTGTTTATTCAATTCATATCGTTTTCTGGTAAAAACGTGCGAGTATATTATGATGTGGGCTACAAACTGTATGGTGTGATTCGATGCTTTTCCTTCCCTTTACCTCTCTTTCCAACTTCCCTTCTTTTCCCTGTTATTCTTTTGTTTGGCGTTGAAAAGGATGGAGCTTGCGCATGGCTTTGGCTTTTATTGTCAGGAATGGGACGGCATGGGTATGGTGATTCGGTCTTGCAACTTCACGCATTCCTCCTCGCATACCTTCTCACACCCAATACCCGTCCTGATTTGGGAGGTCATGGTTCGTTTTCTTACGTCTTTTTCATCACCTCCATTATTTCGACTCATTGCTTTGATCATGTATAGCGTCCTTGTCTGCTGTCTAAACGGTTAAATGGTTGCCTTCGCTCAGCTTTTTCTTACCTATTTTCTGCGTTTACTCACTTCATTTAACTGCATTCCCTTGTACTTCTATACAAAAAAAATGAAACAAGTAATTAGTACTCTAAAAGCAATGTCCCATTTGCCCTAAATCTAAGTCTTAAGTCTATCCGACCGAATCTTGCCCGAATTATACCTAGCACAACACCGAGTCATGTGGTATATTTGAAGTTCACCTGCTTAAAGTCCGATTTATCCATGAACTGGTCTATATGGTTCTCTACCGAAACTGCTTCACAAGTAGCTGACATACGAGCTCTGCTAGCCCGTTTGTTCATCCAAGCGGCTAGGATCCAATACATCCCCATGAGCAGTATACAAGAACAATAGCATACAAGCATTGCGATGAATCCACCAGTGTATGCAGGGGCCTGACTATCACGAAATGTTTGAGGCCCGATCAAGTTTCCTAGTAGTCAGGGGTTAGTATAACGAGCTATGTTAATCATTCGACCTAGGGACAGCACATACCAACGGCATAGCCTATATATAAGATTGAGTATTGGACATTCTTCTTCGTGTGGCCTGCCGTATTTGCTTGGGCGAGAGATATGCCTTGACATGCATTAGCTAGATGTATCCATAGAGAATGTATGGTTCAAACTTACCAACAACATAAGGGCCAAAATAGGTATACAGCTTCGGAATGTTAGTATTTATCACATATTCATAGCGAGTTCCAAGAATTAACTCACAAAGTAGAGTCCAATGATTTGAGCAGGAATATCCGTTCTCTTCAGGGTGTAAACGATTATAGATCCAATGACGGGAACTGAGGCAGCAAGCATGGTGACAAGACACCGTCTATTTGCCCATCTAGCAGCAAGACTAGAGAAGATAAAAGCTGAAAGCGTTGACATCACACCAGTAGGCATGTTTAATAGGGACGCTTGGAAGGGTGAAAATCCCAAATTTTTTATTAGAATTCCACCAAATGTTATGAGCCCTGTACAGATGTTAGAATCGATTCCTTCAATTAGTGAGTATAAAACGGGGATATACCTCCGTTAGGAATATTAATTGCAACGTTGAATAGAAAAATAATCCATGTCTTTGGATCGAGAACGGCTTCAATAACTTGGTTCCATTTCCATCTTTTGTTGACGATTCCAGTTTTGTTCTCGGCCAAACGCTTGACTGCATGGTACTTCTCTTCATCTGTCAAGAAACGGGCATCCATTGGAGAGTTTGGGAGAAATATAAGTGCAAATATCGACCATGCCATTGAAACAGACCCTAGTAAACCTATTTGTATCATTGTATACGTAAATACTGTAGCAAACGGGGCGTCACTTACCTACAATAAGGAAGAGGTACTGCCACAGCCTCAATGGTGCAGGCGAAGGGATACGGCCAACAGTATATGAGAGAAATCCGTTGATAACAGAACTGAAAGCGGAAAAAACAATGGCATTTCTCGGCGGCTGTTCTCTCTTTTTGTAGAAACCCGCAATCAGTAGTGATATCCCCGGCACAATGATAGCTTCAAGGAACCCTGTCCGAACATATTATAGAATATTAGCGTACTCATTAACTTCCACATATTATGTATGAATTGAAGCCAAACCCATGATAAATCTTAATGCAAGTAGGCTTTGCCCTCCAGTGCACGTTGGTAGAAGGAGGGTAACGGCTGACCATCCAATGGAGCAAACGCAAAGATACTTGGCGGACGGAAATCGATGTACTAGATATGATGACGGCCACATGCCTGCAATAGCCTTTGTGTATGTCATAATCTGTCAGCCTACATACGTTTGCGTACGAATTATAGGAAATGTAACTCACCCCGATTGGCAGAATAGATCCTGCCCAGGCATATGTCTGGCCTTTCAAACCCAGATCTTCCCTTAGTCCATAAAGGGCCGCTGTTCCCAGTGCCACTTTATCAACTGCCCCAAGTGTAGCAGTAAGCAGGAGCTATAAGGACGTGTCAGTAATTCTTTAGGGGTTTTTCATCACGGTGTCAGACAGGTAATTTTAGACGACTGACCATAGGAGGAACGATCCAATCGATCTTCCTGACGAGAGCTCTCTCCGCCTCGGGAGTCAAGGGCGGGTATTCAACGGCCTGTGTGAGGTATACAGCTGCTCGATCCACCATATCGTCTTCCAGGCCAGGGGACAGATCTGACGCTATTGAATTAGATTGGACGAGGTTCTTCTCATTGACATCCCCGTTGCCGCAATGTTCCTGTTTGCGTGCCATCTTAGGAGAAATTTTGACGCACTTTCTGTCAATAGAACTCCGTATAAAGTTGGAAGACCTTGATAACCGAGGAACAGAAAAATATCAGTCGACGCTCTCAAAATGGACTGGGTTCACGCGAGGAGGCCATGGCACGGTGAAAGGGTATAAAAGGGTATTTGAGTGAAGGAACATAGTGAATAACTATATAGCAGCTATTCTCTACGGATCTGCGTAAACTATCGCACCTCAAAAGGTGCAAGAATGAGTTTTTTCCGCATATTATTCTTCCCCTGACCTGTGTGGGATGGCACCGGCTAGTCCAAATTTTTTCGTACATGGCCGTGGCTTGACAGCATCAACAACCCGCAAGGGGAGCGCCCCGTATACTGGAGGCCCTTGCGACGCATTTAGCACGTATGCATGTGCTCACATCTCCATTTTCCGTGTTGATCGTAGGCCGCCGGCTGCAGTGACAGGAAATGCTCCATCAATTAAGCTTGAAATGTCAGTGGAAGCAAGCCGAAGCCTGGGTATCCTTGTCAGCGAAGGAGCCGTAGCACACGGAAACGGCGCTTGCGGGCCGCCAACGCACTCAGGGGTGGTGGAATGGGGATGGACGAACCTACACATCGGCAGACATGCTGCAGACTCAGACTGGTTCATAATCCGTCCCACGCCCAATCCAAAAAGGTACAATGGCAGCGGAAAGAAAAGGACAATCGGGTAAATGCAAAAACCAAAGTATTTCAACCAAGAAAAAAATGCAGCAGTTACATAATTAAGCGAGTAAATATCAACAGGGGGAGCAAAACGTACACACATTGTCACAATATGGAAACCATCTATTCAACATCCAGGAATACCACCCCCCTGCCCCCTACCCAGTGTATAATTACTCCGTATAGTGGAAAACAATTTCTATCATCTTTCTTTCGTTTCGTCGGTTTTCATGCCAGACTGATTCCACGCCCTTCACGCCCCCAGTCGTTCCCTCGAGGATGATCAAGATCCCTGGCCCGATATGCAGACTCTACGGCCAGTCTTGCCCGGCGGATATTGCCTAGATTGCGAGAGTTTTGAATGTTCTGCAGCCTCTCAAGTATAAATCGGCGATGTTCCTCGTTGTCAATGTCGACGCTTCCGACGACAAAGAGCGGCCAAAGGAGCGTCGCTGTGCCAGGCAGAGTCGATATTATCGCAATGATATCTGTGACCAATTTCTCCTTCCAGGCAAGCGTAGAAGACTCGACCAAGGCCAGCGGCCCCGGGCTGGGCGATGCTCGAGTTGTATTCGTATTAAAAGTTATGGGGTATCGAGCATATAGACCCACACTTACAGGGCTCAGGATTGATGAATTGCGTGGAGTCCCAAGGCGCTGTCGCAGGTAGAGAAGAGCAGTCAACCTCTTGACTTCTGCAACGCGCAGCAAGTCGTCTCGGTCCTTCGCATACGATGGGAGAGTCTGTTGAACACTTTGGAGTTCGAGCTCCAGATTGTTACGAGCATTGTTGAAGTACGAGAGCTCTGAGATCGAGAGAGGTCGACTTTTTGACATCTTTTCATATGTGCACGGACAGTTAGGAGGTTGAAACAGACGGATTCAAACGTGAATCCTTCCTTTTTTTATATTCTTTGTTTTTTTCTTTTATTTTTTTACTCGGAAATGAACACTCACCTTAGACTTCTCGGTAGCGAGATTTGAGATCTTGCTAATTAGGCTCATTAGCCCGCGAGAGCAGCCCATAAGCATATCAATCTTCCAGGGTGGTAAGCGAGAGGTTTTGAAGAAAAAAGAAGAAAGCAACTTGGGCCGCGCACCTCCTCTAAATCGTCGTCTGCTAGCCATGCATTTTCTAGGGTCTCTGCTTCCGAGCTGTCTTCCATAGCCGTTCGTCCCATAATGTCATGCGCAACGAAGTACATGACGAAGAACTGTTTCAGCATATGGCCTTCTGCCGTTTTCAGGGGAAGCAGGTTTAGGAGCTGCATACCGCCGCGAAGGTGCGTTTTCCATGATGGTGTGCATCCGTCCGATATCTAAATAGAGACAGAAAAGGGGGAAAAGCCGCGATTAAGATTATTGCACGCAGGAAGTTGGATCATCTACTTTTCATAAAGGAATGAAAGGTGAAAAATGAAAAAAATGAAAAAAAGTCGAAATGGTGAAGGGAGGAAGGAAAGAAAATAGGAGCATACATCGTGAAAGCAGAGCATCAGGACCGTTGCAACGGCGCCAAAGCTTGGTTTACGTTCGTTAATTTCCTTTTGGAGACCAGCAAGGGCGCGCTGTTTATAGATGTAGGCTTCTTTCTCGAATTTAACGTTTCCGAGTCGATAGAACTGGTTCGCCGCGATAGCGAGCAGGGTATTGCGAAGTGGTGCATGCGACAGAGCGAGCGGGGTGACCAGAGACAGATACGGGTTATAGAACGGGCTCAGCGAGCAGTTGGGCCCAATACCCTCAATAAAGTAGTCTAGCAGATAGCGTTCAGTCTGGGAAAAGGATGTCAGTGGGTGACCCGGCGGAGCTCGCAGGCTCGGGACAAAGGAGCACGTCCATCTTCCCGCCCCGTATAACTGGGTTAAACTTTCGGGTTCTTCCAGCGGCCGGTCTGGAGAGCTACCAAAGTCCCAGTAGGTCGTGTTGAGAAACAGCCAGCGACCAGCATACTGGGTGATGGGAACCGCCTGGAAGTTCCGCTCAATATTTTTCCGATCAGACTCTGGTTTGGCACCTGTCTCGTGAATATTAGTCTGCCTGCTCGAGTAACAGTAGCAATAGCTACCAGAATAATTGTTTTAAGAGCAAAGAAAAAGGAGGAGTCCAATATAAATCACCTTCACGGCCGAACCGAATCCCTCTCTGCAATGCATCTTCTTTCCAAAGCAGCTTTAGCCCCCGGACGCAGTCGAGATTCAGCCGTACGCATCGACTGCAGCGCGGTTTTTCCTCCGTACATTGCACATGCTTCTCTGCGGCCGACCAACAAATCAACCCCGAGATTTCCAGTCAGCATTAACAGGATCATCAAAGGCACAAAGGAGAGGAGTACAGAGGAGATACAGGGAATCCCTCCCACGGCGGGAGGGAGGCTGCATCTCCGTTGATGCATGAAAGGGGGGGGGTTTTCGTATGGACTGTACCCTTGCATGTCCAGCAGCCCGTCCGACGTCGACTTTCGGGCTGCTTGCGCTGTCGCCGGGTCATTGAGACGTCGCACGCGGTCTGCCGAGCAAAAGAGACGCAGCTTGCATTCCAGCCATGAAAATAGTGAGAAGCCCGCCTGTAGGGGAGAAATGTGAATGCGAGGTCGTTTTCTTCCTGCTGCGAAAGTTCGATGTCGTTGCTTTTGCGTATCGATTGATGACTAAGCACATGCATTTGGAAAGGAGGTTGATATCCGAAGGCGAGGACGATAGCTATATTCTTGGAGACAGTGGGTATGTATGTATGTATGTATGTATGTGTATATAACTACGTAGCGGCAGGGCCTAATCTACATCTATCACACTGGTGTCCCCGGACTGTATCCTCCAGATCTTCCACCGGGCGTCTTCAATGACTTCTTGCTTGAGCCATCTACTCATCGAGATGGAAATGCCATCCTTGTCATGTCCAGCACCGTCGTCATTGCTGCTATACTTTGCACCGTCGATCCATGCAAAGAGCAGCCGTAGCTGCCAGAGCCGATCTCGAACCACCTCTTCACTCACTCCGTGGCAGGCTGCTGCAGAGATGAGGTTACGCATAGTCCGGTTGAGAACAAGCCTTGTATCGACAGCGGTAGGCCGCAGCCAGGATGGTGGACTAGTCCTGTTTCGCTTCTTTCCACAGGAGAGTAACTTCAGAGATTCATGGAATGGAATCTGCGGCAGCACAGCCATTCGCTCAGACATATCCAGCGACGAAAATGCCGGGAGATCGAATATAAAATCCCAGATGTGACGTGGTGGCATGCGAGCTTCGCCGGGGCCCTTCTCACTAGGCTGCAGCGAGGCATGTAGACTTGCAGGAGGCATTGCGTAGAAAGGTCGCGTGTTTCTTGGAATGGCTGCTGGTGGGGGAATGTCCTGGGCATCGCTCAGTCCAGCAATCGTGGTAGAGAAAACTGATCGCTCTGAATCATGATGGTTGGCTCGCCTTCGCAAGTAGATTGACTGGTCGCCATCCCGGAACTTATTCCTTAAGCTCTCATTGCTGGTAAAGTCCAGCGTGATGGTCCAGTGATCAGCACTGGCGATCTTTATTGAAGATACCTCGTCCAGCTCAGGGAGAAGGCACGGGGCGGTAGCTGTTTTCACCTCCCCCGTACTAAGCGTCAATGACACTGGAATCGTGACGGGCCGGCGCGTATCGATATCCCTAGGTATCAAACATCGAGGTTCAGCAGCCAGAACCCATAGATGACGGAATGCCTGGAGGTGGCAGTTGTTGTCGAGGACGCTGGTCGGGAAAATTGGGTATAACGAGCAGAGAAGGGAGGCAACAGCGATATTAGAGGTACCAAGGGTGTAGGTCCCTCCACCCAGGAAGAGCATACCCAGCGCCATATGAGTTGCCATATGGCTTCCGTAGTGAGTATCACCATCAACGCGTCCATGCAAAGAGCGTAGCCGGCGGAGCGTCACTAGATCACCGGATCCAGCCATAACTGCCGCAGCCGAGAGTGCAACGATATCTTGACAATTTCGTACGGAGTTCTGCGTTAATTTGGCGTCATAGTTCAACGCCGATATTCGGCAAATCCTTATGAACTGGTCAAGATGTGCAACAAGAAGGTCTCGTGCTTCTATGGAACCCGATCCTGCAAATCGAAGACCCAAAGCAAAGCAAAGCCCAGCGACAATATTAAAGTAAGGCATATCGTCGGTGGTAAGTCGTTTAATAGCAGACAAACGGTACTTGTGCCGGTAAAATGAGGGTAAGCTCTTCTGTATCCATTTCTGGCTGGCCTTGATGGAATCCCACATGATAAGATATCTTGCCAGTGTTCGAAGAAGGAAGATATCGGGGCGAACGTAGTCGAATTGGACTTCGGTATCCGGTATATCAATCTTCTGGGCCAAAGCTTTATCATTCGTCTTCATGAAAATTATTGCAATCGCAACTGTGGCTCCTGCTGCTGCTTTGTCGAGAATATGGACTAAATTAACCTCCTTCGTACCCACTGCCAATGCAAGCAATCTCTCCACGATTCGCATATCCTGGAGACCTTGAAGATCGCTTCCCTTTCCTAAGTTAACAAATCCTAATGCAAACCCGGCAGCAAGGCGGTACCCTTCATATCGCAAAGGTTCCTGGGAAACCGAAGTCTCTTCTTCTTCCATGTGTTCAATTTCGGAAAGCATCACTTCGCTCATGCGGCGATGTTGGGAATTGCAGTAGAGTAGCCCTATGCCCATTATGCCAGTAGTCTGTGTCAAGGGTGATAAATTGAGCTCAGCTGCGCCTGGCGGTAGCATTCGCGTGACATGAACAGAGAGTAGACGAGTGATCAGAGTATCCATTGTTCCTAGATAGGATACGGATAATCCCAAAAGTAGGCCAATAGAGGTCATGGTATGCTTAGGGGTCAAGTACTTGAAAGCTACCCATTTAGCAAGGGTTTTCAAATGTCCATTTAGCCCCAAAGCCAATAAAAACCCAGCATGTCTGTTAGTGAGCTCATTTGGTTTATTATAGAGTATCCACGAGGTGTCAATCCCCTTGGCGGATTTCGAGATTGCCAGCCCAGTGGAAACTCCGTTATGGAAAAAAGCCCAGCATGCCTTTTCTTCCACAAAAGCCGATCTATCGGCGCTGATTGTAACATTTGATGGCTTCATAACACATTGCAGTGAAAAAGACGGGATTGGTAACTTTTCTGTGAGCAGTGGTACACGCCCGTCGAAACAAAGCATAGCTCGCCCCGCAGGAATGGACAACGTCCTCAGGGTCACTAGCTGGACGAGCTCTTTTTGTGCTTCCAAAAGATCAGACTCAGACCAGTCGGGCTCGGGTGTGCATTCTGCAGTTGGAGCTTTCATCTGATTAAGAATCCTTGCAGCCTCAAAATAGCGTCTATCATCACGAAATATCAGTTTAGTTATCCAGTGGCGGTCAGCTTCTGCAGAAATCTCAAACGAATTGGTCGAGCTACTGTCAAGAACTGAATTTCCGATACTGCGGACATCTCTATGGGCATCATGGGGCTGGATGAACTGGGAGCGAGAAGCTGGGAGTTGTGGAGTCTCGCTAGATGTAGAAAGAAACAAGTCCTCTCTATCCACAAGCTCGAGTAGTGAGGAGCCCCAGGAAAGCGGGGGATCCCCCTGGCAGTTGAAAATGGCTTCGTGGAGGGGGGTGCTGATGCCGTCTGGAAGAGTGTCAATCAAAGAAGATGTGATTCCCCAGCGAAGTAATAGGGCCATTCGTTCAGGAGCAGATTGCTTATTTCTAACTTCGGAAAGGAACCCAGTAAGGGCCAAAGATCTAGGAGTTAAATTCACTGCTTGGTCCCATATCTTGCCACTTCCAGGCGCAATAGTCGAGCTAGATACGACGTCCATTAGCGTTAGGAAGGAAGAAGGGGTACGCTGAAGAGTATTCTCAACGAAGCTGAAGATAGACGGAGGTGTAAAGGGCTCCGGGGGCAGGTCCAGCCCGGTGATGCGAGTATCTTCGAACGTCCACGCGTCAATACTGGCAGTCTCTGTGCCGTAGTAGCTACCCTCTTTCCACGTCCAGGAATCCCAGCCTAACCATCCTCCTATCTGAGCAAGCACAGGAAGTAAGAGCCCCTTTTCAGAACGGGAGTTGTCGGTGTTAGCAACTGATAGTTTAAGCTCCTCACGAAGGAGGTGCATTCCAACTAGAATGGTACCAAGGGCCGTCCTTCGTGTACCTTGGTCTCGCGAAATAGCAATAGTAAGATAACCATCTCCACCAGTAGCAGCCTCACCCTGCGGTGACGAGAGAAAATCCCGGGCAAGCTGTGCGCACCGAGTGATATATGTATTCTTGTCATTTGGTTGGGTTTCTGCTTTGTGGTCGTCAATTGTCCGGTGACTTTGGGTCCTCTCCACTGAATTTTTAGTATGTTCTTCTCGTATCCAGTCCCAGGCTGTGGTTGACATCCATGATGCGCAAATACCAGCTGAACCTGATTCCTGGTCAACCATGCTGTGCCAATCTGTCAAGTCGATTGAGCTTCCAGTGCTGGATCGCATTAGGGCCCCTCTCTTTTTCTTCTTCGGCAGAACTTTAGGCTCCGTGGTAATATCGTCGATGAAGTAAACTGCCATTGAGAAGAGGATGACCACCAAAGCGGTCCACTCCAGGTTTTCTTCCCTCACATCCCTTGCACGAAGCCACCTGAGAGCTTGCCACCACCCGATATGGACTCCATCCCCAGCCCTTTCGGCATGCCGTAAAACATATCGACAAAGAGAGAGAATTCTTCTCACAAGAGAGTTAAACGGCTGAAGCTGGATCTGTATTCTGTGCTTTCTATTCTGTTCATCGGTGATATCTACCTTTCCGCCGGCAGTTGACTGGGTGAGACGACGCATATTCAGGGGCGTCTTGCAGAGCACCCGTCCAAGTCCTTCTTCACGGATATTTGACGGAGTTAACTCCATGGATATATTGGACGGCTCATATAGAACCAGACTATCCGGGAGTTCCACCCTCACCAGCGTGCTCCATGGGGCTTGGAGCGTTAGTTCACCTCTACCATCACTGGTAGAGGAGAGTACAAGCATTCGAGAAACGCCCCTGTCGGCCAATTTGCAGCAGTCTAGAACATTTGAACCGTGGCGAACATTTAGTGCGCGAACTTTGTATGTTGAGATATCATTATCCCCATTTTCATACTGACGAGCTTGAGAACCCAAATTCTGAGCGCTTAGGGTTACAACAATCAAGTCTTTTGAGTTTCGATTGAGGATGCAGACTGCCAGGGGTATTGATTCGGGATCC